CAGGGTCAGGCAGAGGGGAGGGGCGGAGCCTCCTTGGCGATCGGGTTCGGGGGCGGGGCGAGGGGCGGGGCCCGAGCGGCACGAGGTGGAGCTTCTCTTCCCCAAACCTGCCCCTTTCCATTCTTATTTCTCCTACCTCAAGTCCCACTGTGTCCCCTCACTGTCTCATTTATCCTGAGACGCGACAGGCGCGCTCCCACCTCCTGGCCTCTGCACTGGCTGTGCTCCTGGCGGGTGTACCTTTCCCCTACACACCCGCGTGGCGGTGCTTCCCCACGTCTTTCAAATGTCTCACCCATTGAGATGCCCTCCTATGTAGCACCTACTTCTGCCTGATAAACTGTAAGGTCAGCTCCACAGCAGATGAGACGTTTGTATTTCGTTTTCGGCTGAACTCATAACCGCGCCTGGCACACGGGCAGTGCGTAACACCTGTCAAACGGATGCAGACAGTTGGCCCGTTCCTGGATCGAGGAAGGTTCCCGCCCAATCGTGCATTTATTTCTCTATCCACTCAGCAAACATTCATTGAGCACTCGCGGCTGCCAGACCCTGTGCTGTGTGCAAGGACACAGCAGGGGAAATGACAGACTCAACAGGCAGTGAAAATGGTGGCCTGAAATACTCCATGGCTGCAGGCGACAGAGACGGATGCAGACACCCCCCGCCCCGTGAGGTTCAACCCTTCGGTTGCCCTGCTTCTGCCTGAGAAGACAGACAGGGCTTTCTAGGGGAGGGGTCATTGGATGCCGGGCTTTGAAGAATGAATAGGAGTTGGCTGGAGAATGAGGCATTGGAGCCAGGGTGCTGAGTAATTAAAAACTGGAGTCTGTGTATAAAAGGTCTTGACTATCAAGAGGCTAGGAACAGGGATCTGCCAGCCACAAGCCACGGTCTTGTGCTCCTCAAGGCTCAGTGGAGAGTCCAAGCAATTCCCGCTCTGACCACCAGAGGGCGCGCCGCCCCCATCATTGGGAATCCGGGAAAACCACCACCACCACCACCACCACCACCACCACCCCCCCAACCCCTGGTCCAGGGAGGGGCAGCCCTCCGCCTCAGGCCTCCCTTGCTCAGCCCCTGGCTCACTTCACACCACCGACATTCACTCAGTCATTCCGAAGAAGTTTATAAGGTAACACCCAAGAGGCTTTGGAGCCAGCAGGCTTGTTTTCAAACCCCACGAGCCACACTGACTGTGTGACCCTGGGCAAGTTGTTTAACCTCTCTGGGCAGGTGGCAGAACCTGCTTCTCAGGGTTTCAGGATTACATAAGGCCTGAGGCACACACGGGGACACACAGCACCCCCTCCGTCTTCAGTGGGCCCTGCTCTGAGGTCATCTGCCCCACACCCATCCCTCCCTGGCCCTGCCTCATTGGTCCCCTTGGGTGGGCCAAGCTGGACCCCACTTCAGGGTCCCTTTGCCTGGCCACACCCTTTGCTGGAAGTGCCCTTCTCATTGTCCCTTCTAGTCTTGGCTGAAATCTGCAGTGCTGAGATCTACGCCCATTTCGCGAATGAGAAAACAAAGGCACGTGGAGGTCACCTGTGGCCTGGACAAGGTGGCACAGCCTGGACTGGGCTTCTACAGACTCCTCCTCCTCCCTCCAGGCCACAGGGTCACGCCCTCGGAGACCTCACAACCTTCCTGCTCCCAGGGTCCCTGTACTGCCACTTGCCTTCACATCTGTGTTCACTCCCTTGTTCATTTCTAGCCTGGCAGGCACTGCGTTGCCATGGCGACACGATGAACCCAAGTGGCAGTGCCCGCCGGTATGAGTGGCCTATTGCTGCTGTGACAAATCACCACCAGCTTGGTGGTGTAAACGACCCACATCTCTGTCTTCCATTCTGGAGGTCAAGAGTCCAACACGGTCCCGCAGAGCCAAGAGCAAGGTGCCGAGGAACCGCGTTCCTCCCGGGGCTCTGGGGAGATTGGTCCCTGCCTTTTCCAGCTTCTGGAGGCCGCCCACATTCCTTCCTCCATCGTCACAGCCAGTGATGGCAGGTCACGTCCTTCTCATGGAGCATCTCTCTAAACACAGAGGAAGAAGTCTTCCCCACCGGAAGGCCCTTAACTTAATCCCACGTGCAGAGCGCCTCTGCCATCAAAGGGGTCTAGGGCATGGAGATTAGGGCTGGGCTATCTCTTACCCACTACTGTACTTGTCATGGGGAGTCGTGGTGGGTGTCTGAGCTGGGAAGCAAACGGGCTGCAGCAGGGGGAGGCTGAAGCCACGTCAGGAGAGATAGGAGGGCATGAGGGGAGAGGCTGAAAAGGGGAGGAGGGGGCTCCCCAGTGAGGGCCGTGACTGGCTTGAGGTCACCCGGCACATCGCCTCTGGGTTGGGGAGACACACTAGGCTAGGGAGCAGGAGGCTGCTGGCAGCTGGCCTCCGTTTGGAACCCACGCCAGGCTGACAATGACCTTTTGATTTGCATGGCCCAGGCTGGGGTGTCTGAGCCATGGTGGGGTCAGCTCTCGGCCAAGGTCACACTGTCCAGCCCCCACATACCCTTGCTGAGAACACAGAGTCCCATTACTGCCCCATTCCCCAACCAAGGAAGAATGCCTTCGGACTGCCAGAGGCCAAGGCCATGTCGAGACGGCCGGGTATCTTCCCGTGGCGTGGCTCGGCAGCAACGTGGCCCTTGCCCACGGACTGGGGGACATGAATCAGGCTGGGCACCTAAAGTGGAAGGGCAGGACATTTGCTGGTGGAAGTTCTCGTGCATACAGAGGAGGGGCCGTGCTGTGTGGCCGCGGGGACCCCTATTTCCACACCTGGGAGGGGGCAGATGCAGGAATCGGGGGGCAATGAGGCAGAGGAAGCCCCGGCAAATACCCAATTGCTACCCACCTTTTTCATTTTCCTGAAAGCATTTGCCACTCTTTGAAGCTGTATGTTAATTTGCTTATCTCTGTATTTTGTTATCTATGGCCTCTGCAAACCATGAGGTCAGTGGCGATGGTACTGGGTCTGCCTTGTTCACCGTGGTACCCTAGCACCCCACAACGGTCCCTGCCACCAGAGGATGATCATTATTTATTTTAGAAGCCCAAACGCAGACGGGCTGCACCCTCTCTGAGGGTGCCCTGGCGATCTGGAAGGCGCCAACATACAAGGGTCAGTTCCAAACGAGGAAGTGCATCCAGCTGCACTGCGGTCCCCACGGACTCTTCCCGAGCCCATGCTAATGGCACTGTCACAAACTGTGGGACATCTGGGGCTCTAGGGAGCTAGACCTTAGCAGAGAGGAGGAAACGCCCCGACACAGTATGTTGTGGGTGCAGCTCCTGGGCCCCGTCTGCAAATGTGGGGGGCGGTGCCCAGTACCCCAGGGTGCATGGAGCAAAGGCCAGGCACACACACGGGAGGCACTTTGGGAGTCTTGTGGCATGATTACTGCTGTCACGCTGTTGTTGGGACCACCTGTGTCCCTGGGTCTCTCCCTGCAGCACCCAGCAACGCCCCCCCCACACTTGTTCACACCCAGCTGTGCCCACTGGCTCCAGTGGCCAGGTGGCTGGGTGGGTGGCCTGCGCGCCTGGGGCGGAGCTCCCCGGGGGTGGGCGTGTGTGTAGGGACGAGAAGGACCACACTGGGGTCATCAAAGTGATCACACGCAATGCACCATGCGGTACACCGGCCTGCAGACACTCCCCCGAGTCGCTAGTCAGCTCAGCTACAGCCCTGCAGCGGAAGACCCCCAAACGCATGGCGACACCTCGAACTCATCACACCCGCGGTCCGAATTCGGGCCCCCTCCCCGGGCGACAGCCACACCTTCCCAGATAAATCTCGGTCCTCAGGTCGGGAGCCGCAGGCCCGGCCCCTGCACACACACATCGCGCACGCCTCTGCCCCGCGCCCCGCC